AAAAAAAAAAAAGGTTGTAGTCTCTGCTTGGTCACAGCCAGCTACCCAGAGGGACTGAGTAGTTGAAACTGTGGGTTCGGGACCATGGTCGCAGGGGACACCAAGCCCAATTGGCATAACATACTACACAAAGCATGTTCCACCTCCTACTTTGGCGAGTAGAGACTGGGATCTTAAAAGCTTGCAAGCAGCCATCTAGATGCAACGATGGGTCTCTCCTCGTCCAGAGAAAAGAAGAATGAAGAAAACCAAAGATTCATGGAAACAATTAGTCCTAGCAACTGGTACACCATGCGATCCTCAGCCTATACGACTGAGACCAGAAGAACTAGATGGTGCCCGGCTCTCACTGTCAACCAAGTGGAGTGGGATCTATGTAGGAGACTCTGGATAGAGAGGGAGAACAATGTGGAACAAAACTCAAAATCATTTGGGAAAAAAAAGGGGGGGACCAGGTTTGCTGGTCTGATGGAGCCCAGTGGAATCACTGAGACAGTGGCCCCTAGCTGCCCTTCAGGTCTGGAATTGAACCCACACCTGTAACTTCCAGCCAAACAAAAGACAAGCATATGAACTGAACATTTACATTAGGTAGATACCCTCCTGGGAGAGATCAATCATGGGAGAACAGAAGGGCTGTGTCTGCACAGGGAGACAGCTCAGGGGGCAGGAGTGCATGGAGGCAAGGACACAGGGAAGAGGTGGCTATGTATAGGAAGTGGGAGGGGAGCTGTTGCATTGTGGGAAACTGCAGGGGAGCTGTTGCATTGTGGGAGATTCCAGTCAATGTCATGAGACAAAGTGTATGTGAGCTGCTGTGTGGAAAATGAATTTGCTCTGTAAACTTTCACCCAAATCACAATAAAATTAAAAACGAAAACCCCTCCGTGCGTCTCCGCAGGCCTGGCTGGACACCCAGGACAGGCTGTTGGGTCACTATGTCAACGGGAAGTGGCTGAAGCCAGAGCAGAGGAGTTCTGTGCCCTGTCACGATCCTGTCACAGGTAGGAGAGCCCCGTCAGTAGAGGAAGGAGAGGCGTGTGGCCTTCTGCCATACCCACCACCGACGACAACCTGTGCTCCCTGTTTGGGCCTCAGAGGGCAGGGAGCAGAGGGGTGGGGGTGGGGGGCAGGGATTTTGGATTCTCTTGATCTTAGTCACCCTAAGTACCATCCCAAGTCCCCATGGAGGCTTGTTGAAGTCACTGGTTCCTAAATCTGAGCCTTGCCCAGAGGAGGCAGTCAGCAGAGACCATGGTCAGCAGAGACTAGCAGATTGCAGTCAGCAGAGACCACAGTCAGCAGAGACCACGGTCAGCAGAGATCATGGTCAGCAAAGAGCACGGTCAGCAGAGACCACAGTCAGCAGAGACCACAGTCAGCAGAGATCATGGTCAGCAGAGACCATGGTCAGCAGAGACCACGGTCAGCAGAGATCATGGTCAGCAGAGACCACGGTCAGCAGAGATCATGGTCAGCAAAGACCACGGTCAGCAGAGACTAGACCACGGTCAGCAGAGACTAGTAGATTGCAGTCAGCAGAGACCACGGTCAGCAGAGACTAGCAGATTGCAGTCAGCAGAGACCACGGTCAGCAGAGACCACGGTCAGCAGAGATCATGGTCAGCAGAGACCACGGTCAGCAGAGATCATGGTCAGCAGAGACTAGCAGACTGTAGTCAGCAGAGATTATGGTCAGCAGAGATGACGGTCAGCAGAGACGACGGTCAGCAGAGACCATGGTCAGTAGGGACCATGGTCAGCAGAGACCACGGTCAGCAGAGACCACGGTCAGCAGAGACTAGCAGATTGTAGTCAGCAGAGACCACAGTCAGCAGAGACCATGGTCAGAAAGGACCATGGTCAGCAGAAACTAGCAGACTGCAGTCAGCAGAAACCACGGTCAGCAGAGATGACGGTCAGCGGAGACTAGCAGATTGCAGTCAGCACAGACCACAGTCAGTAGGGACCATGGTAAGCAGAGACCACGGTCAGCAGAGATCATGGTCAGCAGAGATGATGGTCAGCAGAGACCACGGTCAGCGGAGACCACGGTCAGCAGACACTAGCAGATTGTAGTCAGCAGAGACCACGGTCAGAAGGGACCACGGTCAGTGGAGACCAGCAGACCATCATCCCATTTGTCAGATGGCGACAGAGCCACCCAGAATGGTGCTGGGGACCAACTCTGCTGCCTGAGGCCCCTTCCAACTTAGGGAATCTCAGACCTCCACCCCAGCTCTGACCTGGGTACCCCCTCCTCCTACCTGGGTCCCCACTTTTCTCCCCAGGAGAGAACTTGGCCAGTTGCCTCCAGGCGCAGGCCGAGGATGTGGCGACGGCCGTGGAGGCAGCCAAGGCCGCCTTTGGGAACTGGAGCAGCCTCCCTGGGGCCCTTCGGGCCCAGCACCTGACCAGGTGAGACAGTCCAGGTGTGGCCCCCGGGAGGTGGGGCAGGAACTCATCCCCCAGCATCTACTTGGAGCTGTGGAGCAGAGACTCGCCTTACCGCTGAGTTAACGGCCTGTCACACTGGGGTGTGGCTGTGAGACTGGCAGCTGTGCCCCTGATACTCCCCAGCAGCAGGGTCACTGTGGTGCACAGGTCTCAGTGGGGCGTCGTGTCTCGGACACACTCGGAAGAAAGGCCTGGTTATCTCCTGAAAATGAGCCAGTGGAAACCTCACGGGTCACGGCAGAACCCAGCCCGGTGCAGTGCAGCAGGCCGAGCCCCTAGGTTGGAAGACACTCAGAGCACACGGAGGATACACGCCTGCCCTCACGGGGGGTGATGCAGGACCAGGCAGCGTTTCCTTCTGTTGTACACGGGCACGCCGTTTGATGGCAGCCGGCCCAAAACTCTGGTGGTGCAGTGCCTAAGGCATCTGACTGCTAACCAGAAGGTTGGCGGTTCAAACCCACCAGCCACTTCTCGGAGGGAAGGTTGGACAATCGACTTCTGTAGTGATAGTGCCTCGGAAACCCAGGGGAGGGGTCGCTATGAGTCAAGTCAAGTCAATGGCAGTGACTTTGGTTTGGGCTTTGCTTCCAGTGGGTGTGGTTTGGGCTTTGCTCCCATAAAGACTGACAGCCTTGGAGACCCTGTGGTGCAGTTCCACTCTGTCCTCTAGGGGCGCTGTGGGTCAGAATCCCCTCCAGGCACTGGGTTTGGTTTGGGCTTTGCTTCTGTGAAGGTAGGAGCTCTGGTGGCGTGGTGCCTAAGGCACTTGAGTGCTAACCAGAAGGCTGGCGGTTCAAACCCACCAGCCGCTCCGCAGAAGGAAGACTGAGCAATCGACTTCTGTAAAGGTTTACAGCCTCGGAAACCCAAAGGGGGTCGCTGTGAGTCGGAATCGTCTCAGTGGCAGTGGGTTTGGTTTGGTTTTGGTTTAGTAACAGCAGCCACTCACCTGTCACCACTCCTGTGCTGTGTCCTGTGGTGGCTTATGTGTCTCTGTGAGGCTGGAGGCTGTAGCACTGGTACGTCAGATGCCAGTAGGCTCACCCCTGGTGGACAGGGTTCAGTGGAGCTTCCAGACCAAGACAGACTGGGAAGAAGGAGGGGCCATCCGTTTCTGACAAAACTGGCTGGTGAAAACCTTGTGAATAGCAGTGCAACACTGACCGATACATTCCTGGAAGACCTCATGAGTAGCTGGGAAACGGACTGGGCGGTGTTTCATTCTGTTGTTCACAGGGTTTGCTATGAGTTGGAGCCATTCAGTAGCACCTAACAACAACAGCAACAACAACAACAGCAAGGCTTAGATTCCCAGCTTGCCTTTAGGGCTTTAGTGGCCAAAAAGCTATTTCCCACTTCACACTGGTAACCTTTCGGTTTCCCAGAATACCTTTGGGGATCCTGGAGGTTCTACTTCTCAGCGGTTCATTGGAGCTGGTGGAGTCCAAACCACACTCTTAGGAATAAGGTCCAGTTTCCCAGTGTGTGCGGGGAGCGGTTACAGGTGACCATGACTTTGCACGGCACCCTGAGTGCTTCTAGGACTACACCAGTCGCCGTGGAGTTGACTCCGACCCACGGCGTCCCCACGTGTGTCTGAGCAGAACTGCTCCATGGGGTTTTCAGTGACTGAGCTTTTGGAAGTAGACGGCCAGGCCTTTCTTCCAAGGTACCACTGGGTGGACTTGAACCGGCAGCCTTTTGGTTACCAGCCAAGTGTGTTGAACCAGCCAGGGACTCCTTGTTGGACTACAAGTCCCATAAAGCTCCAGAGCCCTCTGCCTCTGGAAAACAGTGGCCAGTGCCCCAGGGGCTTCTGGGGATTGTAGTCCTGGGAGCATCGGGTGCTTTCCAGCTGACGGGTCTAAGGCTGAGGGGTGTTGGGAAGTGACCACCCCCCTTGCTCTCACCACAGGCTGGCCAAGATGATCCAGAAGCATCAGCGGCTGCTGTGGACCCTGGAGTCCCTGGTAACCGGGCGGGCTGTCCGAGAGGTCCGGGACAGGGACGTCCCGCTGGCCCAGCAGCTGCTGCAGCACCACGCGGGCCAGGCACACACCCAGGAGAAGGCGCTGGCTGGCTGGGAGCCCGTGGGTGAGAGCCAGCGTCCCAGCCCCCAGCCCCCTGGGCCCCCATGTCCCTGGAGTGCCAGCTCCAGTCCCCTCCGTTCTCTTGCAGGGGTTGTTGGTATCATCCTGCCACCCACATTCTCCTTCCTTGAAATGATGTGGAGGATTTGCCCTGCACTGGCCGTGGGTACATGGAGGGTGGGGCCTGGACCCCGGATCTGAAGGAGGAGCGGCTAGGGGGGTTCAGGACTCCTGGGTCTGAGGGAGGAGGGGCTGGGGGGGGTTCAGGACCCTGAGTCTAAAGGAGGAGGAGCCGGGGAAATGGGGACTCCTGGGTCTGATTGGGGCAGGGCTGGGGGCCCAGATTCCAGAGTGTTGACCTACGCCCTCCCACAGGCTGCACCGTGGTGGTCCTTGTGCCACCAGCCTCCCCGACGCCCCTCCTCCTGGCTCAGCTGGCAGGCGAGCTGGGCTGCTTCCCAGGACTCCTCAATGTGCTCAGCGGACCCGCCTCCCTGGGGCCTGTCCTCGCCTCCCAACCTGGAGTCCAGAAGGTGGCCTTCTGTGGTGCCATTGAGGTATCTTCAGGACGGGGAGTGGGGCCGGTGCAGCCAGGGACCAGGAGCTGCGACCCCAGCTGAACCACTTACGGGGCATGGGGGTTCCTTCCCGCAGGAAGGACGAGCCCTCCGGCGGACGCTGGCTGGTGGGGGTGCTGAGCTGGCCCTGGCACTGGGGATGGAGTCGCTGCTGCTGTTGACAGACACCGCGGACGTGGACTCAGCCGTGGAGGGCGTTGTGGACGCAGCCTGGTCGGACCGCAGCCCGGTGAGCCCACCCTGCCCCACACGGTTCAACTCCCTCCTTCACGCCCTTCCCTCCACAGAACTTCCAAGACCTCTGTCACCTTGACTCTTTCATTTATTGTTTTAATTGTGGGGAAATGTATGTAACAAAACTGCCAAAGGATCAGGGAGACCTCCACTTCTGACCTCCTCTAACCGCACAAGAAGACGGCGTCACCATCAGCAGCCCAAGGCCTGTCCCTGCGAGGCCAGACATGCCGCCTCCCTCCAGCCCTTTCACCAATCCCGACACCAACCGTGCCTCCCGCAGCACCACCGCCTTTCTGCTGGGTTTGATAATTCGCTGCAGTGGCCACACAGAACTCACGGATTATGGGGTTTATTAAGGAAGCACCAGGTTACAGTTCAAGTTCAGGGACAATGCTCTCTCAGCCCGCTGTCTCAGCCAACGGTCTCTCTCAGTCTCTCTCCCAGCAGTGCGTGTCCCGCGGTGTCTCTCTCAGCAATGTGTGTCTCAGTGTCTCTCTCTCTCAGCAATGCATGTCTCTCGGCATCTCTCTCTCAGCAGCACTTGTCTCTCAGGAACGCATTTTTCTCAGAAGCACATCTTTCTCAGCCAGCAGTCCGAGAGACTCCTTTTGCCTCTAGGAGGGCTCCTTTTGAGTCTGGCAGAGTGGCTAAACTGACCAATCATAACATCAGAATTCTAAGCACCTGAGAGAGAGCAAACTTCCCAGAACATCGCTTTGTGCCACTCTCAACAGAAATACCCCAGGTGGATAACTTTAATAATCAGGAGCTCCTCAGTTGCTCACAACAAATTCCACCTCAGAGTTTACAAAGACTTACGGCTAGAAAAGTCATATCAGGTGATTTACTACACTGCAAAGATGTTAGACATGTTAGCCATTTTTGCACACATAGGTCAGTGATGGGGATTATGCTCACAAATGTCCCCACTGTCCTTTTCCACATTTTCTTCATCCCCCTTAACAGTGACGCGAGGAGCCATCATGGCTCGATGGTTAACCCTCAGAGGCTAACCGCAGGGTTGACAGTTCAAACCCAGTAACTGCTCCACAGGACAAAAAGAGCTGGTGACCTGCTCCCACAAAGATGGCAGCCTCGGAACCCCTGTGGGACAGTTGTGCTCTGTCACGGGGTCACGACGAGTGGAAATTGACTCAAGGGCACCCAGCAATCATAGCGGGCTCACCACCTCACCCTCCCGACTCTCCCTGCCCCTGGCTCCCCGTCACTTGTTCTAGAAGACGCTGCACGTTTCTGAGCATCCAGGGCCCTGGTTTTCCACACGCCACCTTCATTCTGCAAATCCCCAAGTTTCTGTGACTATACACTCAGCCCCCGGCTTGGGGCCTGTGACGTCTCTGGGGTCCTCAGCCCCTTCTCCGTGACCCCCCTCAGATGTGGTTCTCACGTTCTGTGTGAAGATTGCCGTGAGCCTCAGCCCTCTGTGGGGAGCTGTGTGAGCCCTGAGTGTGTCCACCCTGACGCCCTTCGTCCTAACAGGGAGGCCTCAGGCTCCTCGTGCAGGAGTCCGTGTGGGACGAGACCATGAGGCGGCTCCAGGCACGGATGAAACAGCTGCGGAGCGGCTGGGGCCTGGACGGGGCCGTGGACATGGGGGCCCGAGGCGCTGCCGCCCACGACCAGGCCCAGAGCTACGTTCGCGAGGCCCAGAGCCAGGGTGCGCAGGTAGCCGAGGGGCGCGAACTTCTGAGTCTGGGAGTCTGGACTCTTGGGTTGGATGGTTGAGGCCTCCTGGTCTGAGGGAGGAGGAAGCTGGAATTTGAACTCCTGGGTCTGAGGGAGGAGGATACTGGGGGGACCTCGGGACCAAGTTCTCTCCCCACCCAGGTGTTCCAAGCTGGCGATGTGCCCACAGACAGCCCGTTCTTCCCCCCGACCTTGGTCTCCCACCTGCCTCCGGCTGCCCCCTGTGCTCAGGGAGAGGTGAGCCTTTCAGCGTGAGGGATGGTCGTCTGTTCTCGGCCCGACACTGCACCTTCCGGAAGTCCCTGGGTGGGACTTCCACCTGGTCTCAGGGCTGTGGATCCCACCTGAGCACCCCCATTTCCCCTCCAGGTGCCGTGGCCTCTGGTCGTGGCCTCCGCATTCCGCACAGCCAAGGAGGCCCTAGCCGTGGCCAACGGGACACCCCGGGGAGGCAGCGCCAGTGTGTGGAGCGAGAGGCTGGGTCAGGCCCTGGAGCTGGCCTACGGGTCAGTCCGTTACCACGGGGCACAGATGGCTGCTAGGATGGCCCGAGCGCTGCCCTTTTTCTGTCGTGAACAGTCTCTTCTCTCTGAGTCTCTGTTCTCTGTCTCTACCTGAACCTCTGTCTCCCTGGCTCTTGGGTCTCTAGCCCTCTCTCTGGGTTTCTGTCCCTGTGGCTCTCTGGGTGTCTGGGTGTGTGGGTCTCTGTTCCCCTCTCTCTCTGGGTCTTTATCTCCTTCTCTCTGGATCTGTTTTTCTCCTCCTCTGGGTCTCTATCTTTCTCTCTTGGGGTCTCTGTCCCCCGAGGTACGAATAACTTCAAATATAAGAATCAGCACAAAGCCAGTTCCTATCAGGCTGAGGTCAAACGTCCCAAATTTCCGCCTTCTCCGAGCTGCCGTGTGACTCCATCTCTGACGTTGTCCACTCATCCCGCCCTCAGCACGCTTGCCCCCGATTCGTGTTCTGCAGTTTGATGCAGCGTTTCTCAGAACTCGTGGGCTGTCCTTAGTCAAGCAGTCGATTAAGGAAGTAACAGTATGACTTGGGACTGGGAGGAGGGAGCGTGTGAGTTCGGTTGCCCCTCTTCAGTGCAGGACAGCTCCCTCAGCCCCCCTTCTCTGTGCAGGCCTCCTCTCACCCCCTCAAAAAGGCTCCTCTTGGCTCCGCTGTCTTCTGGGCCTTCCCAGGTCCTCCGTGCTCAGCCTCGAGCCATGCCACGGCTCTGTGAGGGAATTCCTTGCCTTCTCTCTCTCTGCTTTTCTCTTTTTTCTTTCTTGTGCTTCTTCCTGTTGCTTCACTTCCTGCTGCTTTTGGTCTGAAAAACTTCTGGGCTAGGTTTATATATACATTATATGGTGTGTGTCTGTGTACATATGTGTGTGTGTGTGTATGGGAGCTCTGGTGGCGTGTGCCTAAGGCACTTGACTGCTAACCAGAAGGCTGGCGGTTCAAACCCAGCAGCCACTCCTCGGAAGGAAGGTTGGGCAATCTATTTCCGTAGTGATACTGCCTCGGAAACCCAAGGAGGGGTTGCTATGAGTTGGGTCCGACTCGACGGCACATAACAACAACAACAACATATGTGTGTATATATATGTGTATGCAACTCATTGTCAATTTCAAGGCTAGTCGTCTTTCAGTAGCCCACGGACACTTCATTTGCATAGTAGACTGTGGTCACCTCATTTGCATAGTCCATAGTCATTCATTTGCATGAGTGTGTTGACCAGTCCTGCAAGGTCCAGACTCATCACAGAACATAGCTCAGGACCGGACAAAAAGTCAAGCAAGATGTTACCCCTCACCCAGGAAATGTCCATCAGCCCGGACTAAGTAACAGCCCCTCTGAGGTAGGAAACCAGGGCGAAGGTAACTCCTCAGGGCTAAGGAGAAAAGTCTCTGAAGCTGTTTTTCCAGCCACATCCAAAAGCCACATCCAAAAAAAGCATTGCTGTCAAATCAGTTCTGACTCACAGTGTCCCTAGAGAACATAGAGTTGCCCCGTAGGATTTCCAAGACTATAAATCTTCATGGAAAGGAACTGCCTCATCTTTCCCCCACGGAGTGGCTGGTGAGTTTGAACCGCTGACCTTTTGGTTAGCAGCCAGGCATTGGAACCACTGTGCCACCAGGGCTCCTGAAAGGCCACTTGAAATAGCTCATTTCCCGACTCTCTCGGGCTCTCTGTCCCACTCCCAGTTCCCTTTTCTCTCTAACGGCTCTGTCTCTCCCACAGGCTCCACGTGGGCACGGTCTGGATCAATGCTCACGGCCTTAGTGACCCTGCAGTGCCCACGGGCGGCTGCAAAGAGAGCGGCTCTTCCTGGCACGGGGGCCCAGATGTGAGTGCACCCCTGCCGCCCTGCCCCCCGTGCCCACCCACATCCTCTTGACACCGTCCCCTTTGCAGGGCTTCCACGAGTACCTGAGGCCCCCAACGACCCCTGCCCGGCTGCCCTGCCTTTGCGAGGAGCTGAACTATGACACCTTTGGACTTGCTGTGCCTTCGTCCCTACCGGCTGGGCCTGAAACGGGGCCCAGGTGAGCTGTTCCAGGGGCTGCAGCTCCCAGAATCCTTGGGGCCGGGGCCAGCGGGTCTGGGGCTATGGGAAGGTTGAAGGGAGGTTGTTTGTGGCTCCCCGATGGGCTGCAGTGAGGTTCGTTACTCGCCTTGTGGGATCACCAGGTCCTGTCAGGTGTTACACCTGGGTTTTAAGTCTTCATTCTGCTCTGAGGCTTGATAGAAACCTCAGCTCTTCTAAACACATGTCTGTGCCCGGAGGCTCATGGGAGCAGGAGGCTGGAGTCCCCCAGAGGCTTATGGGAGCTGGAGCTTGGAGTCCCCTGGAAGCTCATTGGAGCAGGAGCTTAGAATCTCATAGAGATTCAGGGCATCAGGAATTTGGGATACCCCAGAGGCTCATGGGAGAAGGTGTTTGGAGTTCTGCAAAGGCTCATGGGAGCTCGGTATTCTATCCAGTGGGTAAAGCATGGGGTTTAAACAAACCTCGACCCTAGGACTCACCTTTACTCCTTGTCCCACTCTAGCCCGGCACCCCCCTATGGGCTTTTTGTAGGAGGCCGTTTCCAGGCCCCAGGATCCCGGAGTTCCAGGCCCATCCGAGATCCCCATGGCAGCCTCCATGGCTATGTGGCTGAGGGTGGAGCCAAGGATATCCGAGGTGCTGTGGAGGCTGCCCACCAGGCTGCCCCTCAGTAAGTAGGGCCACACAGGAAAGCCTGGGGTTATGGGGTGGCTGAGAAGATCAGCGGGGACCCCCAGGGACTGACGGCCTGTGGTGCTGAGTGCTCAGCTTGCAGGCTGATGGAGTTTGGGGTATGGACCCAACGGGCTGATGAGCCGTGGAGTCCAGGTCCCCAGGGAGGTGGGACCTGGCCCCTCATTCCCCTCCCTGGATAACGGGTCACGGGGCTTGGCTCCTTCAGGATGGGGGGCTATGGACAGAGCTGGGCACCTGGCAAGAGCCAGGACCAGGATGCTGACACCGCCTCCCCCCACGAAATGTGCCCCGTCTCCCCACAGCTGGGCAGGTCAGTCGCCAGCAGCCCGGGCGGCCCTGCTCTGGGCCCTGGCAGCCGCGCTGGAGCGCCGCACATCTGCCCTGGCCTTGAGGCTGGAGAGACAGGGAGTGGAGCTCAAGGCTGCCAGGGCGGAGGTGGAGCTGAGCGTGGGGCGGCTTCGAGCGTCGGGGGCACCCCAGGACCAGGGCCACATCATGCGGGTGAGAAGGGGCTGGGGGGGCGGTGGTCAGGGTGGGTAGTCCCACATGAAGGTCAGAGTGCGGGCTCTGGGAAGAGACATGCCTGGGGCCCAGGCCCAGCTCTGCCCCTCACCCTCGGCTGCGTGATCATGAACGAGTGGTTTTGTTGTACTTCTGTTTGCTCATCTGTAAAATGGGTTCACAGCCTACCTCCCAGAGCAGTGGTTTCCGGGTTGTGGCTAGTGGTCCATCGTTGGGTGCCATCAAGGTGTCTGACTCACAGTGACCCCGTGGGACAGTAGAACTGCCCCCTAGGGTTTTCTTGGTGGTCATCTCTGCAGGCCTTTCTCGCATGGAGCCGGTGGGTGGGTTCGCACTGCCAACCTTCCAGTTAGTAGCCGAGTACTTAACCTCTGCTGCACTTAGGGCGCCTCGCTAGACCACAGCATGGATTTAGGGAGTTGTAATCACGATTTCTGTCTTGTTTTGTTTGACAAAAGGAAGCAGGAGAGAATACAGAGGATGTGTTGCTCGATGTGGCCTTTGTTCTGTTTGTATCTGTAAACCACACTGGACGCATTGCCATCAACTTGATTCACACCCATAGGGACCCTGTGTGTATCAGCGGGATTTTTGTTTACGGAGCAGATTCAGTTTCCATACAGCGGTTCATGCACATTTTGTTTCATGACGTTGATTGCAATTCCGCAGTGGAACAGCTCTCTTCCCACTTCCTCCCTGTGGTTACCTTTTCCCTGTGTCCTTCTTTCCTGTACGTTCCTGCCCCCTGAGCACCCTGCCCTCCTGATCTCCCAAGATTTGATCTTTCTCAGGAGTGTACCCACCTGATGTGAACATTCACTCTATGTACTTGTCTGTTGTTTGCCTGGAAGCCATGGGAGTGAGTGCAATTCCAGGCCTGAAGGGTGACTAGGGACTATAGTCTTGGGGGTTTCAAGTCAAAAGGATTCCTAAGGGCAGTGGCTTGTGTGGGTCGCCTAATTCCATGAACCCAGAGGTCTGCGTTCCAGGAGCATCACATGACCCTGTCACATGCTATAAGGCAGTGTCCTTCCGACTGAGAGCCCACCAGCCTTTCTTTATCTCATCTGCCGCCCTGAGCATGCATGAGAGAAGGATTGGCTCTTCCTGCCCCCACGGGGCTTCTTCAGTTCCTTGGAAATACAGAATTCATAGAGGACATTTATACTTAGAGTCACCCGTTCATTATAACTGAAAAGGATACAAACAGAGACACACCAGGTAGAGACTGGGAGGGGTCCTGGCGGGAGGCTTCCCTTGACCCCAGGGACATGCCACCCTCCTGAGAGCATGCTCACAACAATCCAGGAAGCCCCTGAACTTCTGTATTTGAACTTCTTACTGGCTTCATTGCATAGTAGTGATCGGGGTCATGGCACAGGCGTGGAATCAGTGGTCATTGGGTGTGATTGGATTTTGCCTCCCTCCCTTCCTCGGGTTAGCTGCAGGTGTGCTCTGTGTAGCCCCCACTCATTGGTACACAGTCTCAGATTTTACATAATGAAGACCTCAACTGGTGAGAAATTCCAAGGGCTGTTTTCAGGAACCAACAACAAAGGCCAAATCTAGTTCTTTGTCTCATATACCTTATAACAAACTTGGACCCGACTCATAGTGACCCCTCTTGGGTTTCTGAGGCGATATCATTACAGAAGTGTATTGCCCAACCTTCCTTCTGAGGAGTGGCTGGTGGGTTTGAACCGCTAGCCTTCTGGTTAGCAGTCAGATGCCTTAGGCACTGCACCACCAGAGCTCCTACCTTCCCAGAAGCAAAGCCCAAACCAAACCCAGTGCCTGGAGGGGATTCTGACCCACAGCGCCCCTGGAGGACAGAGTGGAACTGCACCACAGGGTCTCCAAGGCTGTCAGTCTTTATGGGTTGTTGTTGTTGTTATTATGTGCCGTCGAGTCGGCCCCGACTCATAGCGACCCCTCCTTGGGTTTCCGAGGCAGTATCGCTACGGAAGTAGGATTGCCCAACCTTCCTTCCGAGGAGTGGCTGGTGGGTTTGAACCGCCAGCCTTCTGGTTAGCAGTCAAGTGCTTTAGCCACTATGCTACCAGAGCCCAAACCACACCCACTGGAAGCAAAGCCCAAACCAAAGTCACTGCCATTGACTTGACTTGACTCATAGCGACCCCTCCTTGGGTTTCCGAGGCGGTATCACTATGGAAGTAGGTTGTCCAACCTTCCTTCCGAGGGGTGGCTGGTGGGTTTGAACCACCGGCCTTCTGGTTAGCAGTCAGATGCCTTAGGCACCATTGTGAGGATGATTCAGGACCAAGCATTGTTTTGTTCTAATGTAGGTAACGTCTCTATGAGTCATAACCAACTCGACTACGCTTAATAACAATAGTTTATTGAAAGGGAGCCCTGGTGTCACAGTGTTTAAGCTGTCTGCCGCTAATCAGAAGGTTATCAGTTCAAATCCACCAGCCACTCTATGGGAGAGAGATGTGGCCATCTGCTTCCATAAAGATTAAACCCTTGGATACCCTATGGGGGCAGTTCTACTCTGTCTTATAGGGTCACTGTGAGTTGGAATTGACTCAACAGCAATGGGTTTGGTTTGGTTGAACAATATTAGAGTCATCGTAGGCAGAAAGGTAAGGAAAGGTCCTAGGTCTTCCAGTGATTATTTCATATGAGATAAGTTTATGGGGTCAAGTGGAGTTGAGCTGAAATACAGTGGAGCAAAATGAAGGGATTTTGTGCAAGAAAAATTTAAAATCTCAGAAAGTCTGGCCAATTGAGTTTTTATTCTACCATTAGTTCTTTCCACAAGGCCAGAAGATTGAGAATGATAACAGCAATGTGATCTCTGGAAAACAGCAGAAACGTGGCGTGTTTCCTGAATGATTTTTCCAGTAAAATGAGCCCCTCGATGGCTACAGAGGAATTTAGCAGCAGCTTACCACTATAATTCATGAAGGACAAGCTTCTGTTCAGTGTGAAAATGTGCTATATACATCACTGATACATATTAGCAGCTATCAGATGGTGAGCGCTGAATGAAATCACGTTACCATTCAAGCTCAGGTTCCAAAGGTGAAGGGTATTTCCTAGGTAGGACTTCAAAATGTTTTCCTGGCCTGGTGAGACCCCCCAAGACTATGGCCCCTAGTTACCCTTTAGGTCTGGAACTGAACTCACTCCTGTGGCTTCCAGCCAAACACTAGACAGGCCTATGGGGTGAACATTTACATCAGATGGACACACTCCTTAGAACCAGGGAGAACAGAAGGGCAGTGTTTGCACAGGGAGATGGCTGGGGGCAGGCAGGAATGCACAAGAAAGGAGGACACAGGGAAGAGGTAACTACAGGGGGGAAGTGGGGAAAGAGCTGTGACATTGTTCTGGTTCCCTACTGCCGCTCTGACATGACATATACCACAAATAGGACAGCCTTATCAAACAGGAGTTTATTCTTACAATTTGGAGGCTTTAAGTCCTAGTTCAAAGTGCCAGGCTCTAGAGGCTGTGTGAAAGCCCCTCAACCTTGGCCTTCAGTTCTGCCTCTTGCTCCCGGCCCACTGAAGCTAGAGGTATCTCTTCACTCAGGCAGCTACTGGCTGCTGAGGCTGACAAGCCCAAGGTCAACAAATCAAATGGCATAGTCCCGATGTTACCAAACCACAAGGCAGGCCATTAATTCAAGTCTATTGAAAGTCTCAAGGTCAGCAGAGCACGGCAGGCTGCATGCAGGGTTTAAGCGTGCCATAAGTGGAGACCATTCCCCAAAGCTGCTCCTTATTTACAGGAAGCAGACCACATCCCTAAGGCAGCTCCTCAGTTGCTCCCAGGAGATCCCACCATGGAGCTAATGACCAGTCTCATCATGGGGAATACTACATCCAGCTGCCCAGCCACTCAACCAGGCCCAGCCAAGTGACACACAAACATAACCATCACAGTCATGAAACAAAATATGTACGAACTGTTGTATGGAAAATGAATTTGCTCTGTAAACTTTCACTCAAATCACTGTTAAAATTTTAAAAAATGAAATATATTCATGGGTTATGACCAGGGCAAATGAGACAGTGAAATGTGGTATGTTCAGCAGCTTCAAAAATTGTCTCTACTGTTATTTCCTTAAAACTTCAGTCATCGTATCTCGTTGTAGGTGAGATCCTTTGTGAAGGACCAGCATCATAGGATTAGGTAACCATTTGGGTAGGACAGGTTTTTGGTTAGGCCCTATCTGTTATTTAGTAGCAGACTCTTGAAAACATCCTGCCTTTTTCCATTTTTCAATCTCTTCTATTTCAAACATTTGCTGATTTATTTTATTTATTGTGCTTCAAGTACAAATTTACAGAGCAAATTTGTTTTACTTTCAACAGTTCATGTACATTCAATTTCACCATTTGCTGAAATTTTAAAAGCCATTCTAACATAGCTTATCTGAATCAGGATTAAAAATAGTTGGCAGTGAGCATTGGAATGAAAGGACTTCCTTTTCTATTAAAAGGGCAGTAATTTGGGAGACCCCTTATTTGGCTACTTAGTTAGCAAGGCCACTCCCTCAAATTTCTTCTGTTTGGGGAACTCTCTTAGTTTGACAAGCCTGTATTTTTGAACAGCAGTCTCAGAGAGAGTAGCAAAGTATCTAAAATGTCTGCTGTTACAGTTCCATTTTTTGTAGTGGTTCCGGGGGGGGTAAAAAATCCTGTTTCCATAACATACCAAGATCATATACAATTCCAAAACAATATCTAGATTCCATATAATAGTTCCATACTTTCCTGAGGCTAGTTTACGGGCAATTAGTTCAGCTTTTGAGCAGAGGTAGCTTCAGGAAGGGCTTGTCTTTCAGGAACCTCAGTAGAAGTTGGGACGGCGTATCTGGCAAAGTCAAATCAGGGGTTTACTTTAGATCTTTCTGGGGAGTCAGGAATAGTTCAGTTAAGTCCAGGCAGTTGTACATAGGGTGGTTTTTGCTCAGTTTCAGGGAGAAGGATGGCAGGATTTCAATA